GCTTAAATACAGTAGCTTTTTTTCTCCTTAAATTGAACTCTGAAGTGGACACTTCCTTCTAGCTGTCTGCCACATCAGCCTTAGCATGATGGTATTTGCCTTGATTGCTTGTAGCCTATGTTCAGGAGGTGGCTGCTGCACCTCCTTATGTTCAGGAGGTGGCTGCTATACCACCAGGTATCACTTCTGCATTCCAGACAGGAAGCAGACAAAAGAGCAAAGGGGCAAAGAATGAGAGCAAAATGGCATACCTGCTGAGTTTGTGCCTTTTTTGTTAAGAAAGCTAAAGTTTTCCTATGTTGTGTCTCATAATTGCTCTTAGTGGTAAGGAGACTGGGGAAAAGTGTAATGTGGATGAGGTTAATTAGCCAACCAATGATGAAGACCAAAGTGTTGAAGCTTTGTGAAAAGAAATTACAAAAGATAAAACCAGGGAGTTGTTTTCCTAAAACAGAAAAATTTACCCTATATCTTAAAAAAAAAAAAAAAATCAAACTTTTAAAAACTTTTTGATAATTGTAGATTCACATGCAGTTGTATGAAACAAAATAGATTCCCCGAACCCTTTAACCTGTTCCCCCAATGACAACATCTTGCACAGCTATAGTACAATATCACAACTGGGATATTGACATACATACAGTCAAAATACAGAACATTTCCATCACTACTAGGATCCTTCAAGTTGTCTTTTAATAGCCACATCTACTTACTTCCTGCCCTTTGCCTTTTTCTTCATTTCTGGCAATCATTAATTTGTTCTCCAGCTCTTTAATTTTGTCATTTCAAGAATGTTATATAAATGGAATAATACAGTGTGTAAGTTTTTGAAATTGATTTTTTTTTTCCCCATCAGCATAATTCTCTGGATTTATGCAGGTTGTTGTTTGTACAATACTCTAGTTCATTTCTTCTTGTTGCTGAATGGCATTTCATGGTATGGATGTAACACTGCTTAATCACTCATCCATTGAAAGATATCTGGGGTGCTTTGGCTACTACAAACAGAGCTGCTATAAACATTTGTGTACAGGTTTTTATGTAAACATAAGTTTTCATTTCATTAGGATAACTGCCTAGGAGTACAATTGCTAGGTTGTATGGTAGTTGTATTTTTAGTTTTCTAAGAAACTGCCAAGTTGTAAAATGGCTTTACCATTTTACATTCCCACCAGCAATATATGAGTAATCCAGTTTCTTGGCATCCTTGCCAGCATATGGTGTTATCACTACTTTTTATTTTAGCCATTCTGATAGATGGGTAGTGATATTTTATTGTGCTTTTAATCTGCACGGCTAATGACATTAAATATCTTCCTATCTGCTTATTTGACTACTGGATATCCTCTTCAGTGCAATGTCTATGTCATTTGCCCATTTTCTAATTAGTTTGGTTTTTTTCAAGTTTAAGTTTTGAGAGTTCTTTATGTATTTAAGATACTAGTCCTTAAGTGGTTACGGTTTGCACATACTTTCTCCCACAGAGTAGCTTGTCTTTTTATCCTCTTAACAGTGTCTTTCAACAGAGCAAGTTTTTAAATCTTGATGATGTCCAGCTTACCAATGTTTCCCTTTTATGGATCATGCTTTTGGAGTCAAACATAAAAATTCTTCCCTAGTCCTAGATCACAGAGATTTTCTCCTGAGTTTTGGTAAAATTTTATAGTTTTACATTTTATCTTAAATCAGTGATGCACTCTGAGTTAACTTTTACAGGAGGTGTGAGACGTAAGCTGAGGTTTATTCTTTTGCTTATGGATTGGCATCCACTTGCTCTAACACCATTTTTTGAAAAGGCCATTTCCTCCATTGAATTCTCTTGCTTTGTATCTGTCAGTAACTTCCTCAGAGGGTATGGCTGAAAATATCTTTATTCTACATTCACACTATATTGATAATTCGGCCTAGAATAGAATTCACGGTTGGAAATACTTTTCCTTCAGAATTTTCAAAGTATTTCTTCTGGTGTTGCTGTTGAGAAGGCTGAAGCTACTCTGATCTTAATCCTCTGTATGTGAATTTTTTTTTTTTACTCTCTGGAAGCTTCCAGGTAGGATCTTACTTTCATTACCAGTGTTCTGATCCTCAGCATAATGATCTCTGGTGAGTGCCTATTTTTATTCATTTTGATGATAATTAGGTGGATCCTTTCAATCTGTGAATTTCATGTCCTTATATTCTGGAAAATACTTCCCAGATTATTTCCTCAATATTCTAATTTTTTATAATTAATTGGAAAGCCATGGTTCAACTGACTGAAAATTACCCTAAAGTAAATTAGCTACATACCCAGACATTTTAGAAAGTACTTCTTTCTGACATCCAAATGTGCTTACTTAGGAATAACCACTGAGTACTTTTAAGCTGTTCTTCCACAGATTCTTAAACAGAAAATGGTAATAAGGTTGATGGAAAATGAACAGTTTCTTAAAAAAAAAAAAAAAAGCCTGTGAATAAGAATAGACAGCCTGAGCCTCAGAAGGACAGGCAGCCTGATGTGGTGTTGAGGGCATGGGTACAGTTAGACAAACTATAGTTCAGGTCCTGGTTCTGCCAACTCATTTGCTACAGAACTCTCAGCAAATTACCCAGTCTTTTGGAGAATCAGCCTCACCTGTAAAATGTGAGCTCCATGAGGGCAGGGACCATGTCTGTGTTGTTAATTGTTGTATATTCAGTACCTAACAAGCCTGGCAGTATGGCACTTGGTGCCATATCAAACAGGGTATTGAGCCCTGGCCGGTTTGGTTCAGCGGTTAGAGCGTCGGCCTGCGGTCCTGAGAGACCCGGGTTCGGTTCCCGCTAAGGGCACGTACTTCGGTTGCAGTTTGTCCCCGGCCCTGGTCGGTTGTGCGGGTGGCAGCCACTCGATGTGTTCCTTTCACATCGATGTTTCTCTCTCTCTCTGTTCCTCTCTCTCCCTCCCACTCTACCTGAACAAAAAATGGAAAAATGTCCTCGGGTGAGGATAAAAAAACAACAACAACAACAACAAAAAAACCAGGGTATTGAAGGAGTATGTTGGGAAAGAAAAAAAGGCTGGCCTGTACTCCCAGGTAGACCATGTTATTCTTCTGTTAGCCATAAACAATTTCATAGAATATCAACCTAGACAAGGTTACTCTGAGACCATGATAAAATAAGACAAAGCAAGGCCACTGCATAATTTTGTCTAGGCATAGATAATTACAAAGTCACTGTACCACCACAAAATACCAAACACTTACTCCCTCTCTCGACCAAAACAAGTGACTGTTACTTCTTTAACAATTGCTGCTTTGCCCTTCTGTCTTTCTTCCTATCTATAAGATTTATTGAGATAGTCAATCATAGAATTGCCACTGCTTTCTGACAGCATCTGATCTACAGCAAATCCTTGCTTTCTTAGACCCTCCCCCAGTCACCTTGCCAAATTTATGATACTTTTTTTTTCTAACACCCTCTTACTAAAACACTCTGTGATTCCTCATGGTCTGTTTGTACTTACTTCAATGAATAATAAACACAATCTGTTTTACTACAGTTGTCTTCCTAGTGGTATTTGGCTTAAGGGAAATGGTAATGTGAATTAAAAAAAATAAGGAGATAAATACTCTCTCTTGTGTGTTGTTATATCAAATGGATAATTGAACAAGATACACTGAGGGTGTGTTTTGTTCCAGGCACTGTGTTAGGTGCAGTGAATACTGAGAGGAACCAGACCCAGATTGCTCTCTAGCAGTTTGAAGCTGTGGAACATGCAGAGTAGAACATGTATGATCCAATTTAATGTTGTGAATACTACTATAGAGGCATATACCTCCTATCAAGATGTTATTGGACCATATGTAAAGGAGGAGGAGCTATACTCTATTAAAATATACTCTATTTTTAGACCTATACTCTCCAGAACAGTAAGATAATAAATTTGTGTTGTTTTGAGCCACAAAATTTGTGGTATTTGTTATGGTAGCAATAGGGAATGAATACAGGGTGCTCGAGCTTAATCTTTAAGGTGAAGTGTCCCAGGCATAAGCAAAGGTGGACTAGTTCTTGTGAGGACCTTCCAGGGGGCTCTGTGCTTAGGAATGTGACAGGGTTTGTCAGGGTCAGATCCTGAAGAGTCTTCTTTCTATGTAGAGAATTGGGAATAATTCAGAAGATGATCAGAGACCACTGAAGGATTGAAAACGGGAGTGTGATAAAATCAGATTTGCATTTTAGAAGAATGGATTGAAGTCTGGAAGTAAAAAAAAAATGAAGGGGAGACTACTTAAGTACCCTGGGCAAGAAATGATGACAGGCCTTCTTTGATCACCTACTATAAAATGACCTTGATATTCCTTGAAATTTGGGTGAGAACACTTAGAAGAAAATATGAGGTGCTCTTCAAATATTTGAAATTCTGTCATGAGAAAGAGTGTTTAGACATGGTCTGTTCTGCTCTATGCTCAAGGTATAAAGTTATGAGAAAACATTAAGTGCACTATTAGGAAGTACATTCTAATCAGAGTGGCATAAAATGGCATAGACTTCTTTGCAAATGATTATGCCCTACATTTTTTCTTTCATCTGCTCAACAAATATTCCTATGATCCTTTAGGTAGGATATGGCAGGCATTAGGCATATGATGGTGAACAAAATAGACAAAGGCACTGCCCTCCATGGGATCTACTCTAATTTCTTTGTGTTATGTGATACCGTTTACAGATAATTTTTATATAATTTCACCAAGAAGCAAGCTCCCAGCCCGGATATCTGAAAAGTGGGCGAGGTTGGTTTGGAGTTAACTCGGGCCCAAGAACATCGGTAAGGAAGATGATAACCCAATAGGAGTGGGTAAGGACGAGTAAATCTCAGGTTCCGCAGGACTACGGAACCGGCCTCTCCTCCAGGATCCTCCGCAGCGGCCCCGCCCCGGGCTCCGCCCACTGCCCGCCTGTGCCCTCCCCTTTCTCCGTCCCCACCTTCCCCTTTAACTCGCAACTCTCGGCCCGCGAGAGTTGAATCTCTTCTGTCGCGAGATCTTTCCCGTACCGAGCTGGCTGTAGCGGCCGTTGGGGTAGGTGGCAGTCAGTAGTTCTGTTGCGGGTTTTCAGCCAGTTGGGGCCCTAACCACAGGCACTAAGTAGGTTCTGGGGGCCGAGACCCAGGCTGCTGTCGCGTGGGGTCCCTGAGGAAAGAATGGGGCGGACTCCCTGGGCTCGGCCGCCCTTGGCCGCGTGCGCGCCCCGCGTGCGCCGCGGTCCAGAGACCCTGTGAGGTCTCACCGGCAGGGTGCGGGGACCCGGCGGTGGCTCGCGGCGCGGTGACACCGTCCGGGGACTCCTGCTCGAGCCGAGGCATGGGGTGCCCTGAGCCGGCTGGGGTTCGTGCCCAGGTGACACGGCCGAGTGTAGTGACCCGAGATGGTCTTGCAGGTGGGAGACCCCGGAATTCGCTTCCTTGTGATATTCAGGTTACTTCTTTCAAAGTTACCAAGTGGAATGGGTGTTTCTTCTTTGCTGCATTACGAGGCTTGGTGCCTTATTCAGAGAGGCAGAAGGAAGATTTGTGTAAGGAAGTGGATAGACACGTGACAAATCCCACGATGTTGTCCTTTTTAGAACCAGCGCACGCAGCACGATGGAGTACATGACGGAAGCCACCGACCGCACCCCCGGACACATGTGAGATGGGGGGGCACTTTTTTTTGAGGGTGGAATTCTTTGTCTTAAGTGAAAAGAAAAAAAAGCCTCACTTCCTGAGAAAATAGAATTCATTTTTACTAGGAAAATTTGTTACCACTAATATTTGCTTTAAGAGTGTTAATATATTCATCATGCATTTTTCTAGATGGGCATTGTCCAATACCACAGCCATTAGCCACTCTAAATAAGATGAAATAAAATTAAATATTCAGTTCCTCAGTTGTGCTAGGAACATCTCAAGTGCTCAGTAGCCATTTGTGCTACCATATGGGACATCAGAGATGGGACGTTTCTTTTGGACAAGTCCAGTGATTCTTAGACATTTTCTGCCTCCAGTACACCTAGGATCATAACACTCCCGTCAGTTCTACTGATCACTAGACACAATACTGGATTCTTTCCATCCTTTAAAAATGTTCTGCTTTGGATAATGTTTACATTTTGGCAGTCCCTGTGCTATACTGAGGCTTTAAAAAATTGCCTTTGGACTATAATGCTATCTGATTACTGTTAGAAATAATTTACACTCTCTAGGCCCTTTGGGCATGAGCCATATTTTGAGGCTTTTTGAAATTTTGGCCATCCTTGTTTTTTAACCTCATTATTTCAGGTTGTTCTTGCTCTTTTTTATTTGCCGCTTTAAGGGTAGAGATATTGTGGCCCTAATTTGAAAGCCTTTGTTTATTTATTTGATAGTTTTAAATTTAACCAGTGCATTTATGAAATCTAATTTGCAAATTTTATGCTTTTTTATTTAAGCTTGTGCTGCGAATGTGGTGTTGTAATTAGTCCAAATCCTGCCAATATTTGTGTGGCCTGTTTGCGAAGTAAAGTCGACATCAGCCAAGGCATTCCAAAGCAGGTCTCTATATCTTTCTGCAAACAATGTCAAAGGTATGGTGTACTATTCATGTTATGTACAGTTGAGATTTATATGTAAAGAGCAGCCAGGCTATGCCAAGATTATCAAGGTACATGAATAAAGGGAATGTAGTTGAGATTTAATTTGTACTTATGTCAGTGTTGCCAAAGATTTTAGAATTTGCAGTTTTGTAGTGTACTTTTTAGTTTGCCCTGCTAATCTGATAAAGATAGTATAAAGGTATTTGAATCTGTTCTTTTTCTGTTAAGAGATTATTAGGTTTGATATATACAGTTAACAGATAACGAGTTGATGTTTGTAAGGGTGAAAACAGTTTATTAAGGACCTACTACTGTTATTAACATAATTTTCCCCCCTTAGTCACTAGAAGCTATGTATGATTAAAAAAAACAAACCACTATACGTTTTAAGTAATTTAGCAGTCTGTTTTAAAAATTATATCTATGAATGTTTTCATGTAACTAAAATGACTATAGTTGATGGGAAAAAAAGTTTGGTAAATCATATCTGAAATGGTCTGAGATAAAGACTAGATTTTAAGGCAGAAGACCTGAAAATTAATGTTTTATTCTTTACTCATTAACTTTATTTAAATCTGTCTAATAGACCATTGTGTAACACAGAACTGCCCACTGGAACCGTTTGTATAAAATTATATGCCTTTGATTTCCCAAATGGGTAGGATTGTAGCATTTCTTAACTTGATTGGAGGGGAGGGGCTTATGAATTCCTTTGAGAATTTGAAAAATGTATCTCCCCAGAAAAATACCTAAAACGTGTACATATATATAAACGTGAAAATTTGTGCTATTTCATGGGGTTTACAGTTTGCAAGCTTTGAAGTGTGAGGCTTAATCTATTATAAATATTTGTTATTCTTAAAAGCATGGTGGAGCCCTGGCCAGTTTGGCTCAGCGGTAGAGCAACAGCCCGCAGACCAATGAGTCTCGGGTTTGATTACAGCCTAGGTCACATATCTTGGTTATGGTTCGTCCCCGAGAGGCAACCAGTCAGTGTGTCCCTCTCACGTCTATGTTTCTTTCTCTCTCCCTTTCTCTCCCTCACACTCTGTCTGAAGATAAACAGAAAAATATCCTCAAGTGAGGATTTTAAAAAAAAAAAAAGCACTGGATAAAGAATCAGGATACCTGGTTTGTCTTGGATTTCTTATAAACTAGCTTTTTGAAACTCTTGGCCCATTAACTCTTGGCCATTTAACTACGCTTGGCTTTAATTTCTTCATCAGAGTGAAGGAACTTTATTAGATGATATATGAAGCCCTTTCTAACTCCAAAAACATACTTATCACAAAGGGACCTGTATAACATTTTTCATTGAATCTTTAAAAGTGTGGGGGAGCCCTGGCCAGTTTTCTCAGTGGTCAGAGAGTTGGCCTGTGGACCGGAGAGTCCCAAGTTCGGTTCCCGCTAAGGGCACATACCTTGCTTGCAGTTTGTCCCCCGCCCTGGTTGGGTCATGTGGGCGGCAACTATTCGATGTGTCTCTCTCACATCGATGTCTCTCTCTCTTCTCCCTCTCTTCCTCCTGCTCTATCTGAAGATAAATGCAAAAATGTCCTCGGGTAAGGATTAAAAAAAAAAAAAGTGGGGGAAAATAAAGCATTCATATTTAGAAGTATTGTGTATTTAACATGCATTTATTGAGCACTTAACTATGTGTTAGGCATTTATCCCTGGGTAGACTAGGCTAAAAAACTAAAAGTATATGCATAAGGGATTTCAATTTTAATTTAGTTAGGTTTTATGTAAGATTTTAAAACTTGAGTTTACAATTAAAATTTGGAAAGGGACTTGAAATAGATGAATAGTCTAAACTATTTTGGTGCATAGTATGAGTTACTGATTTATTTGTGTGTGAGAAATAAATAGTTCTAAGCATTATAGAAGTTCATTATAAATCATTTTAATGCTATTTTGAGATTCAAGAAACTTTTGGTCATTTTGTTATCCTCATTGGAGTTCTTACTGGTACATGAAGTAATAAGACCTCTTTAATGGTTACTTGGGATTGGCTTTGGCAAGTACCCAGAATTTTACCTTTTAAACTAAAGATACTGGTCTAATTGAAAGTTTTTTTAGAACTATTAAAATACATTTGGGTTAAGTGCTTCAGATCAACTGTGGGTTATTATATCTGGCTGATAATTGGTGTTATATCTGCATATGCACATGGAAATTTTTGTTTTTCCTTGAGAGATGCTGGGTTTCAGTATATTATCTTTTTACTTAGATATTTCCAGCCACCAGGAACTTGGATACAATGTGCACTAGAATCCAGGGAACTTCTTGCTTTGTGTTTGAAAAAAATCAAAGCCCCTCTGAGTAAGGTAGGTCAAATAGCTAAAATTATTTTTTGTGAGAATATCTTTTTAATCTTTCATTTTTGGGAAATCCTTGTATAAGTAGGTTTTTATTTTCTCTTTCTTTTTAATCCTCACCTGAGGATATTTTCCTGTTGATTTTTAGATAGGGAGGAAAAGAGGGAGGAGGAGAGAGAGAGAGAGAGAGAAATTGATGGGAGAGAGACACATCAATAGGTTGTCTCCTGCATTACCCTGACCACGGCCAGGAATCAAACCTGCAAACGAGGTACCTGCCCTTGACCGGGGGTCAAACCCTCAACCCTTTGGTCCTCTGGCCGATGCTCTAATGGCTGAGCCAAACTGGCCAGGGCATGTTTTTCAAAAGTAACTGTTAAATGATACTGTTGGTAAGCACTCTACTACAAATGCTGTTTCATTTTTAAAGTTACCTATATTCTTTTGTATGGAAATGAAAATAAGTTTGCTTTAAAAGTTTTAATATAGAATCAAACTTGTCATTCATTATTGTGAACCTCTTATATGCGATAATTTTTTGGGAAAATATTTGTATAAAATCATTGCTAAACTTTGTCTTTTTCCTTTTGTATTTTGTTGTTGTTAATCCTCGCCCGGAGATATGTTTTCCATTGATTTTTTTTTTTTTTTTTTAAGAGAGAGAGAAGGAAGCATCCTCGTGAGAGAGATACATCAGTCGGTTGCTTTGCCCAGCCGGTGTGGCTCAGTGGTTGAGCGTCGACCCATGCACCAAGAGGTCACCGGTTTGATTCCCAGTCAGGGCACATGCCTGGTTGTGGGCCCGATCCCCAGTGGGCATGCAGTCAATGTTCTTTCTCATTGATGTTTCTATCTCTCTCTCCCTCTCCCTCTCCCTCCCTCTCTCTCGCAGATCAATAAAGACAAAAAAAATTGGTTGCCTCCTGCACGTAGTGCCCTGACTGGTGCCGGGGAGCTAACCTACAGCCCAGGAACTTGCCTTTGACTGGAAAGCAAACCTGAGACCTTTAGGTGCATGGACCCACACTCTAACCACTGAGTCACACCTGCGAGGGCATATTGTTTTAAATCTTTATTTTGTATTGTTTTGCCTTTTTTTTTTTTTTTCTGTGTTCCTGGCAGTTTACTTTATCTTCCTATCTTTGTATTGATTTTTCCCCCCAGTGGCAATATTTTTAAGTTTCAGAGTCTAGATCAGCAGTTCTCAACCTGTGGGTCGCGACCCCTTTGGGGGTTGAATGGCCCTTTCACAGGGGTTGCCTAAGACATAACAGTAGCAAAATTACAGTTATGAAGTAGCAACAAAAATAATTTTATGGTTGGGGGTCACCACAACATGAGGAACTGTATTAAAGGGTTGCGGCACTAGGAAGGTTGAGAACTACTGGTCTAGATGCATTCTATTCTTGAATTTTACTGAGGATTTATTCATTTTTTTAAAACATTTCTTACTATTTTCTGATTTGTGTTCTTTTTTTCCCCCAAGTGTTTGTTGAGCCTTAATTCATTAGTTCATTCAGGAGATGTTTATTAGGTATTAGCTCTGTGCTAATCTGCTGTTGGTGGGGGGATATGGAGATGAAAGAGAGAGACAGGAATTTGTGTCTTAGGGAACTTTTATTCTAGTTGGAGGAGAAAGTGTGGAATAGGCAATGAGTAGGTATGTTATATAGTATATTAAAAGGTATAAATTCTGTGGAGGAGAAAACCAGGAGGGCGAATAGAACTTTTCAGGGAAGAGTTGCAGTTTAAAATAGAGTGGGTAGAGGAGGCCTCACTGATAAGTGACATTTTAATAAATGTTGAAGGCACTAAGGGAAAGAGTTGTGCAGAAATTTGGAGAAGAGCATTATGGGTAGAGGAAACAGGTGCAGAGGTTAGAGGCGGGAGCATACCTATATATTTAGAGTGGGGTGAGGAGAGGAAAATTAGTTGGGGATGAAGTCATGGAAAGTCAGAGTATGTCAGGCCTGATAAGGACTGGGTTTTACTCTTGGGTGTAATGGATACAGAGGGTATGGGGCGGTGTAGTAAGATGAATGGTTTACAATTTATCAGGATCCCTCTGGCTGCTTAGAATAGGTGTGAGGGATGCTGGGGTAAGGATGGAAGTGGGGACCTTTAGGAAGTGATTATAATAATCATGAACAATGATGGTATTTGGATCAGTAGTGGAGATGATGAGATATGGACAGGTTGTGGATCTGTTTTGAAGGTAGTCAGTAGGATTTATTGATGAAGTTGATTTGTGTATATGAGATGAAAGAATCAAGGATAACTTCGCCCTGGCCGATTTGGCTCAGCGGTTAGAGCGTTGGCCTGCGGTCCAGAGAGACCTGGGTTCGGTTCCCGCTAAGGGCACATACCTCGATTGTGGTTTGTCCCTGGCCCTGGTTGGGTTGTGCGGGTGGCAACCACTCGATGTGTCCCTTTCACGTTGATGTTTTTCTCTGTCTCTCTCTCCCTCCCTCCTACTCTATCTGAACAAAAATTAGAAAGATGTCCTCAGGTGAGGATAAAAAAAAAAGGATGACTTCTATAGTTCTTGAGCCACCAGAAGGAGGAAATTACTGTTAGCGAGGTAGAAAAGCCTTCAAGGGGAGCCGGTCAGGGTGGGAGAGATCAGAGCTTATCTCAGAATGATATTTAGATGTGCATTAGACATGAAGTAGAAATATTGAGTACACAGTTGGATAAATAAGCAAGGGAGTGGTCCAGACTGGAGATAATATATTTGGGTTATAAATGCTATTTAAAGCTGTGAAATTGGAGGAGATGTCCTAAGGAGTTTAGATAGAGAAGGGAAGAAATTTGATGATTGAATCCTGGGGTTCTTTAATGATAAAGTTTGGAAAGATGAGAAATCAGCAAATGAGACTGAAAAGAAACTGATAGTGAGGTATGTTAAAAATTAGGAAGCCAAGCCCTGGCTGATTTGGCTCAGTGGTTAGAGTGTCGGCCCTTGGACCAAAGAGTCGAGGGTTCGATTCCAGTCAAGGGCAGGTATCTTGTTTGCAGTTCAATCCCCAGCCCTGGTTGGGGTCGTGCAGGAGGCAGCCAGTTGATGTCTCTCTCTCACATCGATGTTTCTCTCTCTCTCCCTCTCTCTCCCTCCCACTCTACCTGAAAATCAATGGAAAAATATCCTGGGGTAAGGATTTAAAAAAAAAAATTAGTAAGGCAAAGAAGTAATTTACAAAGGGAGTGTCATTTACAGCTCATCAGTCAAGTAATGAGTTCTATAGATTTAGCAATGTGACCTTTGATGACTTTGATGAGCAATTTCTGTTTAGTGGTGGAGATAAAGATCTGATTTGAATGAAAATGAGAGAATTGGAAGCAGCAAGTCTGGATAATTTTTTTGAGATTTGCTACAAAGGGAAACAAAGAAGTGGACAGTGGATGGAGGGAAATAAGGAGAAACAGCACATTTCTTAACATGGGAGATGTTACAGTATATTTGTAAGCTGTTGTAGAGTGATAGAGTATAGAGGGAAAGATTTGTGAAACTGCAAAGAGAGAATAATTGCTGGCACATGTCCTTGAGAAGTAGGAGAATGATAGGATATAGCATACTAGTGGAAGAATACTTTTGTTCATTCAACAAATACTTAGCATTTACTATCAGGCCCGTTTTGGGAACCTGGAATATTTCATGGAACAAAACAGAGATGTCTGCTCTCTGTTGGGGCATTCTAGAAGTTGGTCTTGATAGGAGCATGGACAGTTCATCTGTGGTAACAGAAGATGTTGGTTTATGAGAGCTGGAAAATCTCTTCAGGTTTTTTTTTTTTAAATTGAGATAACAGATGTAATGGCAGTAGTTATAAGGGAAAATCTATTATTAGGTGTTTGAAGAGAGAGGAAGGTATGAAATAGACCTCTGGGGAAGTGGGAGAATATACCAGAATGATATTATATAATTGCTAGGCAGTGTTAAGAGTTACTGTTACAAATTTAAAGACTAGTGTGATATGTGTTTCTTTTTCTAGCCCCTTCAACTGTGTAGGTAAGGCATAAAGCAGGCAGATCATTGGATTAAGATTATGATTTACCCAAGTGATTAAGGTGAAATGAGAGAGGGACCAAGGGAATTGAGTGTGTGCATGGCAATGAATGATGATTGGTTTTGAAATTAAGCTAGGATAGGATGGAAGCAAGTAGGGATGAAGGACAGTGAAAAGGTGGTAGGATGAATAGTTTGTAGGTGTCAGTAGATTGAAGGATTTTTGGTGTCCAGGAACTGGAGAAAATGAGCTAGAAAGGTAAGAGAAAATAGGGAGCTGGATGTTTGGAATTGAGATTGGGGGTGGGAGGGTGGGCAGGATTTAGTTATTGGTAATAAAAGGGTTATGAGTAGGAGGCAGGACAATTTTGGGGTAGAGGGACTCAAAAAGGATGAAGAGTCAGGGTATTTGGGGATTATCTATGGGGATATTGAAATTATCAAGTATGAATATTGTTGTTGAGAAGAGTGACTGAGCCAGGATCTGATATCTTTGAGAAATGAAAGCAGGTGACCCAAAGATTAACAGATGACTGATAGAGGTGGTGGCATAGTCTGAAGACTTAAGATTCAAAGCTGACTGTATTTAAGGAGGAGGCAGGGAGAATGGTTTGGAATAAGCAGTTTAAGAGCAAGGAGGACTCCTATCTGGCCCTGGTCCAGTGACAGGAAAAAAGTGAGAAAAATTTTAGTCGTTACTTTAATTAGCTGCAGAGGGACAGTGTATATAATTAAGAGATCTGGAAGGTGAAGGGAATGCTCAGTAAAGAGAATGAGGATTTAGGAGGTTTTGTTGTTGGTGAATGAACCAAATGCAGCATCTTCTCCCTATTACGTCTGTTCTTCGTGTCAAAAAAAAAGTTCCAGACTGGGACAGAATAGGGAATATGTGGAACCATGTGGAGTTTGGAGTGTGGGAGATGAGGGGTGACTGAAGTGTTTGGGACTATTGTAAAGAAGGATAAAGGGCCCTGTAAAGTTTATTAGTCCTGCTTGTTTGAAGATGGTTTGGTGAAGTGAGACTGTTGTTGGGTAACGGTAAAGTAGAGGCCCTCTTTCATTCCTACAGATACAGGTTGGAGGCTGAGGTAAAGGCAGTCCCAGTGGCCATGGGGCTTCCTCTTGACCCCTGCGGATGGAGACTGAAGGAATAGAAGCTGCATGTCACCTGTACCTGGTGTGCCTTGTTAACTACTAGGGTTTGCTTTAGTGGGGTTCCAGTTGTATGAGGAGAGCTTTACTCTGGAGTGCTGCAGCTATACTAGCTAGTCTAGTTCTCACCAGACAGGGCTTGATTAAGTTATCACCTGTCCACTGTCTCCCATATCTGTTATCCAAAGCTCAGATTTCTTCATAGAGCTTCAGACTAAATATATATATCTTATTATCTACTGAACATCTTCACTTGGATATCATAGATAAATCCTCTTAAACTTAAATGTCTGAAACCAAATGCAGCATCTTCTCCCTATTAAATCTGTTCTTCGTGTTAAAAAAAAGAAAAAAAAAAGTATTATCTAGATGCCCAAGCTGTATACTTGAGCATCATTCTAGAATCTGTTCTTTTCTTCCTTTCATATCTAGTTATTAAATTCTATAGATTTTGTCTCCTAAATAGCTCTTGGATCTTTTTGCTTCTGTTTTATCCAGTGCCTCTCAGTTCAGCTCACCTACAACTCCTGCCCAAACTATTGAAACAACCTCCATTCTTGTTCTCCCATCTCCTTCCTCAAAACACACATTTTAGCAATATTGAGCTACATTCAGTTTCTCACATATAGCAAACTGTTGTTGGCCTCTGCTGATCCTGCTTATTTAGCAGTGCATTACCATTGTGGATTAAGTATTCAGTGCATGAGATGCTCTCTAATGATTTTTTTTTAAACCACATACTTAATATGGATAAATAATCCAAGTAGAAACTTTTATTCATGAGATTTCTGGTAGATGATGAAGTTATAATGTCTTTGCTTTCTTATAAAAAGTATAATTTCTATTCAAAACGCAGTATATATTTTTTACGGAAAAGGTATGTTTTTTCCTATGTAGGTATTTTCATTTTTACTTGAATTAAACTAGTTTCATTAATGTAGTCATTAGATTGTTCTTTTATTTGCTGTTTTTGTTATACCTTTCATGATAAATTTTTCTTTTACCGTTATGTTGGGTAGTGATGCTAATCACAGATTCCTTAAACATCTCATGAAATTTATTAATGAATTATTCTTTCATATTTTTCTCCTCATATGGGAACTTACGTTTCTTTCTGTTTGTGTTTTGTTGAAGGTCCGGCTTGTAGATGCAGGCTTTGTTTGGACTGAGCCCCATTCTAAGAGACTTAAAGTGAAACTAACTATTCAGAAAGAGGTAAGCTGTGTATAATTTTCTCAGCATGGTTAAAGTGTAGGTAGTGAAAATGAAAGCACTATTGGTAAGTTACTTTATGACTTAACAGTTTAAAAGGACATGAATACATTCTTAATTTTAAAATAACACTTTGTTTTCTTTTGAATCATTTGCATAGATGATCAGGTCACTAATAATAGCAGTTGTTGCGTATGATTAGTGGACTAAGATATGTTAATTGCTTAATTTATTTGGTTTGCTCAATGGCCCAACTTGTGCCCATAAGATAATCTTTTCAAAGTTATTTATTTATTTTTATTTTTTTAATCCCCAATGAGGATAAGTTCCCTTTGTTGAATCCAAACAGAGAGGAAGGGATAGGGAGAGAGAAACATCAACGTGAGAGAGAAACATTGATCAGTTGCCTTTCGTACATGTCCTGATGGAGGTGTTAAACCCACAACCTGGGTATGTGCCCTGACCTGGAGTCCAGCCCGAGACTCTTCAGTGCATGGGATGATGCTCAAACCATGGCACAACACTGGCCAGGCTCCAAGTTATTTTTATTGGGAAAAAGATTGAAGTAAAAACATGAACTAAGGCAGTGCTTCTCAAACTTGGCTGATAATCATGACTCACAGTAACTGAGTCAAAGTGGATTCAACTGGATGAGAGACACAGTACATGTTTAAAAAGCTTCCCAGGTGATTTCAGATGCTTGGCTGTGTTTGGAAACAATTAAATTAGGAATGTTTTCCTTTTTGAGAGTTGTGTTACTTTTTCTTCTAAGGATGAATTTATATATACACATACACAAGTATATATAGATATAAAATTCTGTAAAAAAATTCTCAAGGTCACTTCAACTAAAGGTAAATTTGAAATGTTAATATGGTAAATACTATGAATTAAACCTTTTTGTCTTTCTTGAAATAGTGTAACTCATTCTTAGGACTTTAAATTTAACTGATTTATTGTTGATATTCTCAAAGCATTAATGGAAAAAGATCTTAAATATTAGAGTGTCTTTTTTTTTTAAGAAAAGTATTTGTTGCTAAACAGAAAGAAAGGATGAAGGAATATGATTTGTTTTTTTTTAATTAGGTGATGAATGGTGCTATCCTTCAGCAAGTGTTCGTGGTGGATTATGTTGTTCAGCCTCAGATGTGTGGAGATTGCCATAGAGTAGAAGCTAAGGATTTCTGGAAGGCTGTGGTTCAAGTTAGGCAAAAGGTAATAAATGAATGGTGATGAGTGAATCCTCCAGTTTGTATTTCATCTTTGTGAGTTATAAACAGCTAGTAAAACCTCCTTTTCCCCCTTTTTCCATATCCTTTATGCACTGGGGCTAGACTAGATCTTTGGAGCATTACTTTTAGAAATAGATCACTATTGCATTTTAGATAATCTTTAAAGATTATTTTATTTTAAAAATTTGGTATGCTATAGTTTTAGGTGGCTTTTTTTTGCATTTTATATATTAATCTAATAATGCATTTATGTTTAGACTTTGCACAAAAAAACTTTCTACTATCTGGAACAGTTAATTTTGAAATATGGAATGCATCAGAATACACTTCGTATCAAAGAGATTCATGGTGAGTTAAAATGTGAAAGCATTTGAAATGATGCCAGAATTTTATTTTAGCTAACCTAAGGAGTCTTTTATCTTTACTGATATTATCTAGAATAGTACTGTTCAAAAGAACTTCCTGTTAGGAAGAAAAAAAGGTCTTAGTTCTTTATCTGCACCGTCCAATATGGTAGCCACTAGCCATATGTGACTATTGGATACTTGAAATGTGGCAACTGAGGAACTGAATTTTTAATTATTTTCTGTTTAAATTTAAATGTATACAAGTAGCTAGCAGATGAGTTAACCAGTAACTACATTAATAAAATGTAAAATGCTGTGATAGAAAATTCATTGAAAACTGGTTTTATGTGGTATCAGTTTTTGATTAGAAGAAAGTTATTTGTCAGACCTCTCAGTTCTTCTATAATAATCTTATTTTTCATATGTCTAGAGACATTTATTATGAATATATTAAATTAGAAGACTAAGTAATAATAAACAGTGATACACAACTGATGTAATTAGATTTCTTTGATGATATAATTTAAAAATTTTTGCATAATGGTTCCTTAGAACATATTTTTAGCACTTGCTGTTGATGTAGCATACTTATACAACTAGGTAATGGATGGATATTTCTTTAATCAGTGGTAAAAAATATAAATATTCTTTAGCAAACTCTTAAATCTCTTGCTAATGGTTAATATTTTTAGATGGTACTTGCTCCTGGTGGACATGTACACTGTTTATCTAGTCTCTAAAGTAGAGGTTTAGAAATAGCTGTTCATGAAGGAATGACCAAATTCTTATATTATACTCCTTGTTTTAAAATGGTGAGTTTTCCACTGTTACTTACTCATCTGTATGTCTTGAAAAAAGTGCTTAGAAGTATGGTCTTGGTCTTTAAATGGAGGAAAAAATGAATATTAGTTATGTTGCCTGAAGAAAAGCTGGTTCCAGAATCCGTGCTCTTACTATCAATCAAGTTTTTGTAAAAAAAAATTAGGATGCACATATTATAGAGTAAAATTTACATACTGTGGTAGAAGCAGTGAGACAAAATCTTGCTGCCTGCTTAACTTAGTGCCTGGCTATTTGTGGGTAGCTACCAGGAAAAAATACACCTTTGTTCTGAGTAACTTTGTTGTAACTCTTTTGGGAATAAGGAGATCCAAGTAGTCTAGCTCATAAGGAAGCAAAACATTATTGTTCATCACCGTGGATGAATTATCCTCACACAGAATTTTTTTTGTAGCAAAAGACGTGTATACATTTTGAGACATACTTTTACAGTCACTTTCAAAAAAAATGTAAATTTAACAACCTTTTTTTTAAAAAATTCAGGGTAATTAATTTTTTTTTCCCCACTTAGTTGTTCTTAGTTTGATTTAAATGAATGTTTTGTTGGTTTGATTGTGTATTTGTAACTTTATTTTAAATATAATAATCGTAAAAATTCAAACTTGGAAGCACGTATCAGTAAAGGACCTCTATGTGCCTTTTATCCACTTGTTATTCCCAGAGGTGTACTCCTTAAAACAGGATAGTACAGTATGTGCTTCGTATGTACATTCTTATAACATTGGTTTCCCTCGTGTGGGGTTGTTTTGTAATATTCTGTGACTCAACATATTTATTGTGTTATATTTTTGGAAACCTTTCCACATCATTTCAACTAATCATATTTTATTATTTTTAACCACTATATGTGTGTGTGTTCATTAGTCATTGTCCATTTAATTAGTTATTTCCTATAGTTGGCTTAAAAGATGTTCCATTTTCTTTTTCTGTAGCAAACAGCATAGAAATAAATGTTTGTGTTTTATGCATATTTGGTGGTTTTTCAATGGGATTGAGTTCAGGAGTTGACCAACCAGTGTGGCTCAGTGGTTGAGCATCAGCCCATGCACCAAGAGGTCGCCGGTTCGATTCCCAGTCAGGACTCATGCCCAGGTTGTGGGCCCGATCCCCAGTGGGGGGCATGCAGGAGGCGGCCAATCAGTGTTCTCTCTCATCGATGTTTCTGGCTCTCCCTCTCCCTTTCTCTCTACATTCAATAAAGGAAAAAAAAAAGGAGTTGAAATTACTAGATGAATATGCTAATGCTAAATTGTTATATGTACTACTAGATTGCCTTCTAAAATAGTGCCAGTTTACAATCCCCTCAGTTGTGAGAGTTTCCCTTTTTCTAAACACTTGCCAACAGCACATAAGATTGTATTAGTCTTTCTAATTTCTGTTGTTTTAATGGAGAAAATAATGGCGTATTATGTTTTTGTTGTTGTTGTTAATCTTCACCTGAGGATATTTTTTTCCAGTGAGTTTTAGAGAGAGAAGAAGGGAAGGAAGGACAGAGGGCGGCAGGTAGCGGGGAAGAGAGAGAGCGAGAGAGAGTGAAAGAGAGAGAGAAAGAGGAAAACATTATGAGACACGTCGATTGGTTGCCTCCCGAACATGCTCCGGCTGGGCATCGCACCTGCAACCCAGGTATATGCCCTGACTGGCAATCCGAACCTATGACTTTTTGGTCCACAGGCTGATGTTCTAACCACTGAGCACACTGGCCAGGACAATGGCATCTTGTTTTAATTTGTATTTTCTTTTCTTTTTTTCTTTTAAATTCTCACTTGAGGGTATTTTTGCATTTATCTTCAGAGAGAGAGAGAGAAACAGCTTGTGAGAGAGACATATCAATTGGTTGTCTCCAACACGATCCTAAACAGGGCAGGGGACCAAGGTGCATGCCCTTGACAGGAATCAAACCTGAGACTCTTTGGTCCTTGGGTCGAAGCTGTAACTGCTCAGCCAAACTGGCCAGGGCTAATTTGCATTTTCTTGATTACTAATGAAGCTTAACATTTTCATCTATGTATTAGCTATTTTTGTTTATCTCTAATGTGAATTGCCTGTTTTTCATATATCTATTTTTCCTTATTTATTTTGTCTTTTATTGAGGTACTCATCCTCATTGCTTGTTGTATGTGTGTATATATAGAGAGAGTGAGCATGTGTTTGAGCATGAGTCAGAGAGTGGATACTTTTTGCAATGTCACATGTCGTTTTTTTTTGTTTTTGTTTTTTTTTTGCATTTATCTTCAGATAGAGGGGGAGGGAGAGAGGGAGGAAGAGAGAGAGAAACATTGATGTGAGAGAGACACATCAAGTGGCCGCCACCCACACGACCCCAACCAGGGCAGGGGACAAACTGCAACTGAGGTACGTGCCCTTAGCGCAGTGGTTCTCAACCTTCCTAATGCGGTGACTCTAATACAGTTCCTCATGTTGTGGTGACTCCCAACCATAAAATTATTTTTGTTGCTACTTCATAACTGTAATTTTGCTACTGTTATGTCTTAGGTGATTCCTGTAAAATGGTTGTTTGACCCCCAAAGGGGTCGTGACCCACAGGTGGAGAACAGCTGTTTTAGAGAGAGAGGAAGGGAGAAGGAGAGAAAGATAGAAACATCGATGAGAGAGAACATCGATTGGCTGCCTCCAGCATGCCCCCCACTGGGGATTTGGCCCACAACCTGGGCATGTGCCCTGACTGGGAATTGGACTGGTGACCTCTTATTGCATGGGTCGATGCTCAACCACTGAGCCAGTGGGCAGAATTCTTATTTTTGGTCATTTTGGTTTTGGTAGTCTTATACTAGTCCCCCGCAATGATTGTGTATGTGTTAACATTTGTCAATTTCTTCTTTTTGCATAGTTTTTGGTTTTGAATCTCAGTGCTGTTATTAGGTGCATTTCTGTTGTCTTCTTGGTAGATTGTTCCATTTATCACATAAATATTTTTTTATGTTCTGTTTAGTGTTTTTCTCCCCCCGACCTTGAATATTACTTTGATTGAAATAAAACTTTGAATTTTATTTTCTTTTGTTAACATTTGTCTGATTTTGTTAAATAAGTCTTAAGTGATATGATATCCCTAATTGTTGTGGCTATAATGTATTTTATGATAATTTGATTTTTTAATACACATTTAATTTGTTATATAGTGATGTTAGTAGAGGAAAATCTTATTTTGCAGAATTATTTTTATGTAGCTTTTTTCTTTGTTTTAAAGATGGACTGGATTTCTATTATTCTTCAAAGCAGCATGCTCAGAAGATGGTGGAATTTCTTCAGTGTACAGTCCCCTGCAGGTATGTTCTGAACCTAAATGTGATTAAGTCCAAGGAATAGTGAGTGAGTATAGGTCACATCCATGCTTCAGACTGAGGCAACCTCTCCTATGTTAAAAAAAAAGAGTCCACAATTAGTAAGCATTTATTGGTTTTAGTCACTTTAAGGGAAGTGGGAAGTATTACCCTAAGAGCACGTAAGAATCACTTTGGGGATGTAGACCTCTCCCTGTGATAATAAGCACTGAAGTGCCGAACCATTTATTGAGCCAAGGTCCTGTTTTGGAGGTTTTTAGTAGATAAAGTTGAAATTAGGGTGCAGTCATATTGGTGAAGGTTTGAAATGTAAGTGGATGAAATTAGGCTTCACTATAGCAGACATCAGGGAACTGTTTCAGACTTTTGACAGTGATGATTGGATTTGAAGAAAATATTTTGAAACTATAAAAATAAGGCATTTGTTTTTCATTACTGTTAACTTTTTTTCTTACTAGGTACAAAGCCTCACAGAGACTGATCTCTCAGGATATCCACAGTAATACATGCAATTACAAAAGCACTTATTCTGTGGACATTGTTCCAATATGCAAGGTACTTTTTCTTAATTAATCCATGTCTATAAAAGCGTATAACTAATTAACTGGTTTATATGTAATTATTAGCTCCTGGTTTCTTTCTGGGTTTGGTTAAAATTTTAGAATAAGTTCCTTCTTAAAAGATTTCTGACACACTCAGCCATGTGAAAAAGATGTTAAAAATTAATTATGCTTACCCTGGCTGGTTTTGCTTGGTGGTTAGAGCGTTGGCCCTCGAACCGAAAGGTTGTGGGTTTGAATCCCAGTCAAGGGCATGTACCTGGGTTACAGGTTTGATCCTCAGCTTTGGTCGGGGTCATGCGTGAAGCAAGCAGTCAATGTCTCTATCTCTCTCTCACAACAGTATTTCTCTCTCCCTCCCTCCCTTCCACTCTATCTAAAAACCAATGGAAAAATGTCCTCGGGTGAGGATTAACAATAATAACAAAAAAATTAATTACACTTAAAATTAAAATGGGCATACCCTTTCTTTTAATGTACTAATTAAAAGGCAAGTTTCGTTTTTGTTGTTCTTTTTATGTATATGTTTGTTGATTTCTTTAGAGAGAGAGGAAGAGAGAGAGAGAGAACCATCCATGTGAGAGAGAAACATCAATCGGCTGCCTCTTGCACGCCCCCTGCTGGGGATCAAGCCCGAAACCCTGGCATGTGTCCTGACTGGGAATCGAACGGGACTTCTCAGTCCATAGGATGATGCTCAATCCACTGAGCCACACCGGCCAGGCCTGTTTCATTTTTTTTTTTTTTTTTAATTTTGTTTTTCTTTATTGATTTTAGAATGAAAGGAAGGGAGAAGTAGAGAGAGAGAGAGAAACATCTATGAGAGAGAACATCAATTGGTTGCCTCCTGCATGTCCCCTATTGGGGATTTGGCCCACAACCTGGGCATGTGTCCTGACCGGGAATCGAACCAGCGACCTCTTGGTGCATGGGTTGACGCTCAACCACTGAGCCATACCGGCTGGGCCTGTTTCAGTTTTTTAATGTTCATATTTCTTAAAATTTGTGATCCTTGTAGACACATGACAGCTTTATGAAACTTTGAATACAGAAAATGACATTAAAATACATATCAGTAAACCACTTTGGAATACGTTCAAATTGGATTTTGGCATGTTGAAAATAAACAGTATTGTGGAAAAGAGATCATAGAATCATTTTTGTGACTTAAAAATAATCTGAATAATGCTTAAAATGTAGGTTATTTTATTTAATTGTTCCAAGGTAAAAACAGGGTTCAAAAACATAAATGTCTCCATCTTAAGAAGGTATAGCTTATTTCCTGTTTCTTGTAAGATTCTTTTGTGTAGGCTCTTTGTTGATACATAGAATTAAATATTTAATATTTTAGTTTCAGCAAATGCACTTGGATCGAGTATACATTGATGAATGTTTTTTTTGAGACTTTTATTTAGGATTTGCTTCACTCTAAATGTTAGTTCTTATGCCTAGGATAATGTTGTCTGTCTGTCTCCAAAACTGGCACAAAGCCTGGGAAATATGAACCAGATTTGTGTGTGTATTCGCGTAACCAGCGCCATCCATCTCATAGATCCAAATACTCTACAAGGTAAGTTTTAGGAACTCTACCTGACATTTCTGTCTGGCACGCAGTAATAATTTATGTCGTTAATTTTATCAAACATTTTCAATAATATTGTTATGAAAAACTAGTTAAAATTTTTACTGTTGTTGCACTGGCCGGTTTTGCTCAGCGGTTAGGGCGTCGGCCCATGGGCCAGAGAGTCCCGGGTTCGGTTCCCGCTAAGGGCATGTACCTCGGTTGCAGCTTGTCCCTGGCCCCGGTTCGGGCTGTGTGGGTGGCTACTAGTTGATGTGTCTCTCTTGTGTCGATGTTTCTCTTCCCCCTCTCTCCCTCCTGCTCTGTCTGAAGATAAATGCAAAAATGTTCTCAGGTGAGGATAAAAAAAATTTTTTTTATTTTACTTTTGTTTAATTCTTACAAAACACTGTAATTTTTAAAGCTTTTAATAAGTTGCCCTTGTATTTTTTACTTGAAGAAATGATTCTGTGAACTTTAAAAAATTTACTAGTTTAGCCTGGCTGGTGTGGCTCCATGGTTGAGTATCTACCAATGCACCAAGAGGTTGCCGGTTCGATTCCTGATCAGGATACATGCTCAGATTGTGGGCCCAATCCCCAGAGGGGGGCATGCAGGAGGCAGCCAGTGGATGTTCTCACTAATTGATGTTTCTATCTCTTTCTCTCTCAAATCAATCAATGTACTAGTTTTATGCCATTTATTTTTACTGACATTGATTTATTTACCTCATTTTATTTTTGTGACTAAGTTCTTTGCTAATTTTCAGTGTATAGCAAATATTTTAAAATTTGAAACATTTAAGTTTTTGTAATCCAGTAGAACTTTTAGTTTAAATATGAATTTTAACTAACTTCATCATTATTATATATAATTTTTAACATTTCCTTGATAAAAACTATTTTTTAAAGAAGACCCCACACTGATAGGTGTCTCCTCAGTACTTATTTGCATCTTCTACTTCTTGATCTTTTTCACTTTTTATTTTCTGTTATAAAAAAAAGAGTTTATTTTGCTGTTTTCCAGAGGTCATTTATTATCCTTGTCAATTAGAGTAGAATTCATTGGACAAAGGTCTTTTTTACAATATTAGGATGAACATTTGTCCTGTAAAACTTTATTTTCCATAAACTAAGTACCTAAGATGACTGGTAATGTTTTAAAATAAGATGCCAGCACATGAAACAACCATACAGCTGATTGGATATGACCTTATATTAAAGGCACTTAGCTTTGTGGTGTTGTGATGGTAGTAACTACTACAGATATGTTTGACACATGATATTCTCTTGTGCTGTGAGAAGTTTGGGCTGATTTATAGGAATAAATGATGACTCTAGAGCAGTGGTTCTCAACCTTCCTAGTGCCGCAACCCTTTAATACAGTTCCTCATGCTGTGGTGACCCCCAACCATAAAATTATTTTTGTTGCTACTTCATAACTGTAATTTTGCTACTGTTGTATCTTAGGCGAACCCTGTGAAAGGGTCGTTCAACCCCCAAAGGGGTCGCGACCCACAGGTTGAGAACCGCTGCTCTAGAGAGTGAGTTGCCACTGTTGTTCCTGTTGACCTGATGTTTCTTAGTTTGTACATAACAAATTTTTCTTACTTATAACATTTGTTCACTTTTATTTATTTAAAAAAATATTTTTAGCCCTGGCCAGTTTTGTTCAGTGGTTAGAGCATCGGCCTGCGTTCCAGAGAGACCCGGGTTCGGTTCCCGCTAAGGTTGCATACCTCGGTTGCAGTTTGTCCCTGGCCCTGGTTGGGTTGTGCGGGTAGCAGCCACTCAATGAGTCCCTTTAACGTCGATGTTCCTTTCTGTCTCTCTCTTCCTCTCTCTCTCTCCCACTCTATCTGAACAAAAAATGGAAAAATGTCCTCAGGTGAGGATAAAAAAATATATATTTTTTTTATTGATTTTTTTAGATAGGAAGGGAGAGGGGGAGAGAGAGAAACACCGATGAGAGAGAAACATCGATCGGCTGCCCTCGAGCCTGCAACCTGTGGGCAGGTGCCCTGAACAGGAATCGAACCGGTGACCTCTTGGAGCATGGGACGATGCTCAATCCACTGAGCCACATTGGCCAGGCGCATTTGTTAACTTTTAAAACATTTCATTTCTCTTGTTCTTTAATAGTTTTCGTTTATTCTTAGTTGCAGATATTGATGGGAGCACTTTCTGGAGTCACCCTTTCAATAGTTTATGCCATCCCAAACAGCTGGAGGAGTTTATTGTGATGGAATGCAGCATAGTCCGAGATCTAAAACGCAAAGCAGGTGCTGGGATGATATCAAAAAAGGTAAGTTTCATCCTGAACATTTTTTTTTTAACTTTCCTAACTTATTGTTTTGGTCCCAGAAATTCTAAAATGTGTTTCCAGATAAAGCTAACACCACACTAGGTTAAAAATGCATTCCATGTTTGTATGTTGTTTGCTTTTAACATGTGGTCATTGTGAAAATTATCAGACACTGTCTGGTAAGTTTATTTTTTTGTTTAATGTGAAACATTTGAAAAATGTTTATTATTATGGAAAAGCATTTTCTTGCTTTACTTTTGTACAGGAGGACCAGGTGACAAGCTAACCTGTTTTGAAAGCTATGTTTTCACTTAATACTAAATACATCAGTTTGCATCTCTAAAACATGGGAACATTTTCTACAGAAAATGTTATACCAAGTGCTGAGGTCCCAGTAAACCTCAGCATATTGGTTATGGATTCCAAAGAAATGACCTGGAAAACTGGCTGTGAAAGACATAGGTTTATTAGGACTTACTTGCACACTGGTGGTGGCTGACCAGTTGATTTACCGCTGTACTGCCTGCCACCGATCAATTTGTCCCTGTAAGTCTCTTCTGGCTTGTGGACAGGCTGTACTGGGGTGGCCAGTATCATTTTGCTGCTACTCAGACTTTCCGAACACAAGGTATTATAGAGAGCGGAAAGCAGGGCACGCAGAGGGAGGGGGACGTGCATGAGTTTAAAACAGCTGTTTACAATCCAGGCTCACTAGAAGCAGTTTCTCTTTGGCCTTTCTTAGACCGAGTTGCTGGTGAGGTTTCCAAAGTCTCACAGTCTGCTTACAGATGGCCTTCACTATTTCTCACAGGGTGGGAGGGGGTATTGGCACATGGGAAGGGGCCCATTTATCATACACATACATGTAAACGTTATTGTTTATATTCAGATTTCCTCTTTTATCCCAAAGTATCTTTTATGTATTGTTTAAACTAGTATCAATTTGGGGATCATACATTGAATGTAAATAGCATCCCTGTTAAATCTTTTATTTAATAATAGCTCCCCCCTCTTTTTTTAAAAATCTTTAGTGTTGAATGTATTACAGATGTTCCTCATTTTTCCCCCACTGGCCTCTTTCTCCCCACTCCCACCCCCCTCCCGCCTTTTCCCACACTATTGTCTGTGTCCATTGGTTATGCATATAAGTTCTTTGGTTTATTTCTTCCCACCCCTCAACCCCTTTCCCTTTGAGGTCTGTCGGTCTAGCAATGAATTTGTACTTCTTAATCTCTTCACCTTTTTCACCCATTCCCCCAACCCCCCTCCCATCTGGCAACCAACAAAATGTTCTCTGTATCTATGAGAATGTTTCTGCCCTGCCTGTTCATTTTGTTTGTAGATTCCATTGTCGATAGATATATATTCATTGCCATTTTGTTTGTTCATATATTTTATCTTTTTCTTCAAAAAGACCCTTCATCATTTCATATAATAACGGTTTGGTGGTGATGAACTCCTTTAACTTTTTCTTGTCTGGGAAAGTCTTTATATGGCCATCGATTCTAAATGACAGCTTTGCAGGAGAGAGTAATCTTGGTTGTAGGTTCTTGCTTCTCATCACTCTGAATATTTCTTGCCACTCCCTTCTGGCCTGCAAAGTTTCTTTTGAGAAATCAGCTGACAACCTTATGGGAACTCCCTTGTAGGTAACTTAATTGCCTTTCTCTTGCTGCTTTTAAGATTCTCTCTTTGTCTTGAACCTTTTGTATTTTGATGATGATGTGTCTTGGTGTGGGCCTCTTGGGGTTCATCTTGTTTGGGACTCTCTGTGCTTCTTGGACTTGTATGTCTGTTTTCTTCACCAAGTTAGGAAAGTTTTCTGCCATTATTGTTTCAAAGAGATTTTCAGTTTCTTGTTCTCGCTCTTCTCCTTCTGGCACCCCCAAGATGCGAATGTTGGCACGCTTGAAGTTGTCCCAGAGGCTCCTTATACTATCCTCATTTTTTTGTATTCTTTTTTCTTTTTGCTGTTCTGATTGGGCATTTTTTGCTTCCTTATATTCCAAATCGATGGTTTGCTTCTTGGATTTACATACTCTATGAATCTGTATAAATTACTCTTTTTTTTTCAGTTAATGCCACCTTTATTTCTGACTGTGCATCCATAATTTCTGACTGGTCCTTTTTTATGCTCTTGAGGTCCTCCCTAAGTTCACTGAGGTTCTCACTAAGTTCATTGAGCATCCTTATAAGCAGTATTTTGAACTCAGCATCTGTTAGGTTGCTTATCTCCATTTCGCTTAGTTCTTTTTTTTTTTTATCCTCACCTGAGGACATTTTTCCATTTTTTATTCAGACAGAGTGGGAGGGAGAGAGAAACATCACCGTGAAAGGGACACATCGAGTGGCTGCCACCCACACGACCAACTAGGGCCAGGGACAAACTGCAACCGAGGTACATGCCCTTAGCGGGAACCAAACCCAGGTCTCTCTGGACTGCAGGCCGACGCTCTAACCGCTGAGCCAAACCGGCCAGGGTGCGCTTAGTTCTTTTCCTGGAGTTTTGTTCTGTTCTTTCATTTGGGACACATTTTTTTGTCTCCTCATTTTGGCTGCCTCCCTGTGTTTGTTTCTGTGTATTACTTAACGAGAGGTATGGGGCTATCTGACACCAGATGCTGCTTGTTTGAAAGAATTTAGGAAAACCTGAAGCAGGATCCAAGACAGGCCAATCCTATGGTTAAGCAAGTGGCAACAGCTTGGGTGGGCCTGAAAGTTGGGTGGGGCGGGGCCTCAGGGAATCACCAGGGCGGGGCTACCAGTATGAGCCAGGTTGCTGGAGTCTTAGGTATGGCGCCGCCCCAGGGAAGGGCTCACCAAAGGAACAAAGGCCTCTGACATCACATTTGTCCCGGAGAAAGCCCCCTCTCCAGCCCTTGCTCCAGTGCCAGTCAGCTCAGTTCTTCCCTGTGTGTCTCTGGTGCCCCTCGAGCTGCGTCCCCTCCAAGCTTAGAGGGAGAGAGTCCGATAAGTCCATGCGCGGGCCCTTTAAGGAGCTGCCTGGGGCTCCAGCGCCCCAGCCTCCCTGAGCCTGAGTTCCCGCTGGTTTTTCCAGCCAGAGGTTATGGCTACTTTTCTTCCTGGCACTGAACTCTGAGCGGGGCACCTGGTGTGGGACGGGGACCCCCTCAGTCCTCAGGGAGGACCTTGCCAGCCCAGGTGTCTTCCTGATTTTTCTGCCACATGTCGGTGTGGGACAAGCCCATCCCTCTCCGCCCCTCCTACCGGTCTGGAGCTGCTGATTTAATTCCGTAGTTGTAGGACTTGCATTCAGCTTGATTTCAGATGGTTTTGAATGATGGTTGTTCTGTAGTTTAGTTGTAACTTTGATGTGGTTGTGGGAGGACGCGATATCACGTTTACCTACCCGCCATCTTGACTGGAAGTCCCCTTTTTTTTATTTTACCAATTTTCTAAGTAATTAGGGCATTTATTTATCTTGTGGGTCTCTCTCACTGTTTCCTCATGATGTCAGTTAACTTGCTACTTAATCTCTTGTAGTTCCTTTAAGAAAGTGGATCTAGCCCTGGCCAGTTTGGCTCAGCGGTTAGAGCATTGGCCCTAGGACCAGAGAGTCCTGGGTTTGGTTCCCACTAAGGGCAGGTACCTCGGTTGTGGTTTGTCCCCGGCCCTAGTTGGGGTTGTGTGGGTGACAACCAGTCGATGTGTCCCTCTCACATCGATGCTTCTCTCTCTCCCTCTCTCCCTCCTGCTCTATCTGAAGATAAATCAAAAATGTCCTCAGGTGAGGATAAAAAAAAAGAAAGTGGATCTAACGACTTGGATAAATTTATGTTAATTAATTTTGGCCAGAACATTTCACTGGTGATGCTGTGTGTTGTCTATGATATATTAAAAGAGAAGTAACGTTTGGCTATTTCACTGATAGTCAGATCTTTCTATTGTAATATTATGACCCCCCCCCCTTGTTATTAGCCTGTCTTCCTGTCTTCCTTCCTTCCTTCCTTCCTTCCTTCCTTCCTTCCTTCCTTCCTTCCGTCCATCCGTCAGATTACCCCAAATTTAGCCAATGGGAACCTCTTCATAATAGTTTCTATGTCTTAATTAAAATAACTTTTTTTAGTGGCTTTTATTTTTCTATAGCAGTTTTAGCAAATTAACAGAAGATAAGAAATTTTCCATATACCCCTGCTTCTACAGATGCATAGCCTCTTCCATTGTTAATATTCCCCCATCAGAGTCTTCCTAGCCATGAACGTGGAATTTATTTAGCTCTTAAAAAAATTTTATTTATTAGAATTTTATAATTTTTCTCATAAAGATCTTATACATATTTTGTTAGATTTATACCTAAGTATTTCATTTTTGGAGGTGCTAATGTAAATGGTATTATGTTTTTTTTTTTTTTATCATCTTCACCCGAGGACATTTTTCCATTCTTTGTTCAGGTAGAGTGGAAGGGAGAGAGAGGAACAGAAAGAGAGAGAAACATTGATGTGAAAGGGACACGTCGAGTGGTCCCCACCCGCACAACCAACCAGGGCCGGGGACAAACTGCAACCGAGGTACCTGCCCTTAGCGGGAACCGAACCCGGGTCTCTCCGGACCGCAGGCCAACGCTCTAACCGCTGAGCCAAACCGGCCAGGGCTGGTATTATGTTTTTAATTTCAAATTCTACTTTTTCATGTTGGTATATAGGAAAGTGATTGGCTTTCATTTGTAACTGTATCCTGTAACCTTGCTGTTTCTGGGAATTTCTTTGTTCATTCAGATTTTCTACATACACAATCATGTTATTTGCAAACAAAGATAATCTATTTTTTCCTTCCTAATCTATATACCTTTCATTTTCTTATTTTTTGCATTAGCTAGGATTTCTAGTAGGATATATTGAAAAGCAGTGATAAGAGAGAACATCTTTCCTGATACCTGATTATAATGGGAAATCTTCGAATTTATTTTATTGATTGATTGATTTTTAGAGAGAGAAGAAGAGAGGAAGAGAGATAGAAACATAGATGAGAGAGAACTTTCATTGGCTGCCTTCTACATGTCCCCCACTGGGGATTTGGCCCACATCCTGGGCATGTGCCCTGACCGGGAATCAAACTAGTGACCTCTTAGTGCATGGGTCGATGCTCAACCACTGAGCCACATTGGCTGGGCTACTAAGAGTTTTTAACATGAATGGTGTGTGGGATTTTGTCAAATGCTTTTTCTATATTGATACTATCATATGAGTTTTTTGGTGTGATTGGTGGATTACATTAATTGATTTTCAAATGTGGAACCAACCTTGCATACATGGGGGTGAATCCCACTTGGTCATGATGTACACTTCTTTTTTTGTTGAGGATTTTTACATCTATGTTTGTGAGAGAATGAACACTGTGGTCTGTAGTTTGCTTGCTGGTAATGTCTTTATCTGGTTTTGGTATTAGAGCAGTGGTGGCCTTGTAAATGTGTTAGGAAGTATTCCATCTTCTGTCTTCTGGAAGAGATTATAGGCAATTGGTATAAATTCTTCCTTAAATGTTTGGTAGATTCACCAGTAAATCCACTGGGCCAGGTGCTTTCTGTTTTGGAAGGTTAATAATTGTTGATTCCATTTCTTTAATAGACATAGGTCTTTTCCTATGACCTTTTGACATGACTTTCCTAGTATTTGAAAGCATCTTAGTTTCTGGCACAGCACCACAATGTGTAGGTAGGTGTTCCAGAATCACATTGTATAGTTCTTATTGCCATGTCTGAAATCAGGTATTTTCTTAAAGGATATAAAGTCTGATTTCCTTTGCTGTGAATTAGTATTTAGAGACCACACTCATCTGTATACTGACGGTGTGTTTTTTTCTAACGAGGTAATATTGTGTTTTGAGACAAAAATAACTTCTGATAATTTGGGAAATTGAATGGAAATGGAAGACAGAGTACTTTTTACATTTTTATTTGAAATGAAAAATTTAATAATAGATTAAGAGCAAACTTTTATCGTTTATAACAACTGTAGGAGAATGCCACTTTTCCATAGGCACATGTAAAACCTGATATATATTTTTGGTTTTCAAAAAATACATTTAGCTAAAACAGGTTCATAAGTTTCTTAAAAATAGAAGCAGTCTAGTAGCCAGAAAGTGAGTCCTGTTACATAGGATTTAGTCTCTTTTTGATAATTCACTGTTATTTACTTTAAAATTTTCTTTTCTAAACCTGAGACCTTTTATTTCAGTTTTTCCTTTTACTATACTTTTTTTCATTTCTTTTGAGATTCCTTAGTTCTCTCTTTAACTCTTAGTATTGCCCTTGATCTCAGTGGGTCTGTTTTTGTTAGTAAAAGGTATTGGCATGTACTATACTTAATTCAGTAAGTCTGAATATCAGTGACAGTTGCTCATAAAATTCTGTGTTGGAAGGGGACCTGAATGGTTTTCTAGTTTAAATTTCAAACTTGGGATGTTTCTGCAACAGTTTATTTTTTTTTCAATCCTCACCCGAGGACATTTTCTCATTTTTTGTTCAGATAGAGTGGGAGGGAGAGAGAGAGAAACATTGACGTGAAAGGGACACATCGAGTGGCTGCCACCCGCACAACCCAACCAGGGCCAACCAAGGTACATGCCCTTAGCGGGAACTGAACCCAGGTCCCTCTGGACCGCAGGCTGATGCTTTAACTGCTTAGCTAAACTGGCCAGGGCCAGTTTTGTTTTTTATTAAGTGTTACACCTCAAAATAGTAGACATCTAAAATATTCATTTGATAAAGATTGGGTTCTCTAGTAGTAGTTTGTCCACCGGAGTAGCTAGACTGTTTTGTCTGAACCCTAATTTTTTTAACTTTATGTGTAAAAAACACAAAGAATTGCTTAGTATTGGATTTAAGATCCCCCTACTTTTTCATCTACACTCTTTGCTCAGTCTGTATTAGCCCATCTTCCTGTGAAAACATTTCTTATGAAAATTGTACATATGTCTTCCTGGCTAGTGTGGCTCAGTTGGTTGGGCATCATTCCATGCACCAAAAAGGTTGCCAGTTTGATTCCTGGTCAATACACATGCTGGGGTTGCAGGCCTGATTCCTGGCAAGGGGGTGTGTGGGAGGCAGAGGATCAATGTTTCACTCTCAAATAGTATAGATGTTTCTCTTGCTCTCCCTCTCCCTTCCTTTCTCTCTTAAAAAAAAAAAAATCTTAAAAAATGATTCTATATATGACTGTTTTTAGGTGACATTGGTAATGTTTTATAAAAACCTTGACTAAAATCTTAAAAGTATTGTATGAGTTCTTTGTGAATCTTTTTTTCTATACTCAAAATTAAGTAATTTGTTAATTTTGAGTGTTTCAGAGATCTGAAAAATAAAATAATTTCTGTTTTTAGAATGAAAATTAGAAAACCAAAATTAACATTGTATTTAAGTTTTCTATAAAATGCATTTTGCGTTCCATTTTCTTTCCTATTAAGCATACCCTTGGGGAAGTCTGGGTACAGAAAACATCTGAAATGAATACAGATAAACAGTATTTTTGTCGCACTCATTTGGGACATCTTCTGAATCCTGGAGACCTGGTTTTGGGGTTTGTATTATTTTATAGTATTTTAAACTGTCCATTAGCATTGCAGATTTTCCTTGGAATCAGCAAATAACTATCTTAAATACTAAAGATGTTTATTCCAAAAAGAAATAAGAGTTCCCAGGAGCCTTATAGCTCATTGTACTATTAATAAGTAAATTAAACTGTGGATTGGACAAAAGCCCATACTTACTCCATTTTGGCCATCAACTTAAAGTGTTATTTGTTCCAAGATTTTGAGTAACTGAACTCTGAAGTTGTATGGTTAGTTCAGATCATATTTACAGCTTTTTGGGGGGAGTTTTTATTATGCATATGCTACTGCCCAGATATTTCACTTTTAAAAAATGGCAGCCATGTATGTAAGGGGTCTTTACAGGCATAGGACAGTCCATTCTGATGCAGAACTTACCATCATACCTTAAACATTACTTTTATTCATAGGTTTTTAGTTCCTTTTACTAGAGAAAGGGTTTTTTTGTTTGTTGTTTTGTTTTATTATAAACTAAATGGAACATGTAACAGTCCTTTAGACTGATATATGTCTGTCTTGCTTCTTTGCAAATACATGGTAAGGTGGACAATAATGCATATGTGAAACTCAGAGATAGAGTGCATTATCTTTACTATGGTCTGTAGAAGCATGTTCACTGGATAGTAAACTGCAAAACTTTAAAAATGGGAATGCATATTAAATGCTTGATTTTAGGTAATAATCCATAAAATAAAGAAAGGGAAAAAGTTTTTGTCAGTAAGTGTTTTATTATTTTCATTTCAGGTTTGATTTGGCAAACTGTAACTTAAATGATGAGCATGTCAACAAAATGAACTCAGATAGAGTCCCAGATGTGGTAAGGCTTTAGATTTTTCCCTTTTTTCATGTGTTAAAGAGAATTGATGTAACTCTTATGGGTAAGATGTACAAGTTCACATTTTTTAAAATAACAAACAATTTAGAACTTTCTTTTGAAATTGCACTTAAGGTATAATAAAGGCTTTCATTTTAAATCAGCAGTTTTCATCCAGTGTGCTGCAAAAATTTTGGAAAATACGTAAATACCTGACTATTTAGTCAGGGGCACGGACCTCTTTTCCCTCAGATTGTAAAAAGAAAATAATAATAATAACAACAGCTAACACGATAGCTGTTCAGTGTGAATGAATCAAAGTTATACCTATTTTTTTTTTTTAATCAGGTAGGCAAAATATATTTTTTGGTGTGCTGTGGAATTTTAGTAATTAGTTTATCTGTGTCATGAGATGAAAAAGGTTGAAAATTGCTGTTTAAATAATTTTTCTTGGGAAAAACCCAAGACTTAAAGAGTTTTTTGTTGCTCTTATAATCAAATTTTCATATTCTGTCAAAATTCTTGATGCTATTCGTAGAGAAAAATAAATTTGTAGCTAGGGTTGACCTTTATAGTTTATTTAGGTTCATTTTGTTAGGCTCAGCTTATTTCATGTATTGTTTAGTTGAGAAGGCATTTAGAGTTAAACTGTTTTTCCGGTTTGACTATAACTGCAGTTGAAAATGGGCCTTAGAGAAATAATCCAACTTGGAAAAACCTGTTAAATTCTAGCATGAGTTCATAAGAGTCATGAGCAACAGTGAATGTGAAAGACCTTATATCCTGCTTCCTTAATCTTTTAAAATAAACATTGATCTCTTTAGCTGTGGGCAAAAATAAAGTCATGGTACAAGAAAGACTCCTCACCATCCAGTTATGCTTTTGTTAGTTAATAGATTAAGAAGTAGAAGCATGGCTTGGATATAAGTCTAATTAGGTATTTCTAACTAGGTCATAATAGGAGATCATGATGGTCTTACAAGATTTTGTATTGTGTACAATTATTCATTGTGCAACTTAGTAAACTGTTCTAGGATATACAGTTGTGAAAGATGTATATAGTTCTGTAAGTGCTTATTAGTAGGAATAAAAGGGAGAAAAAATGTTTATGATAATGTTTCAGAATGACTTAGTGAATGATAGCTAAGAACTGAACAATGGTGTAAAAACACACCAGAAACCCGAAGTTTTAACAATTTTACAAATAATGGGTGAATGCATTCTCATAAAATAATTAGTACATGAAGAAAATATGAAAAGTTTTCAACATTGCCTCTTGATCCCTCCCTACTTCATTCCCCTAAGGTGTAGCTACTATCATCAGTTTTGGTGATTCCTGGCATTCCCATAACCTTTCATTTTTAAAATTTTTATATCTTTACCGAATTTTGAGGCAGTGTTCCCATTTTTTATAACTTTGCAAGTATTTCTGTTACTTTTAGGTATTAATCAAGAAGAGCTATGATCGTACCAAACGTCAGCGTCGTAGAAACTGGAAACTGAAAGAGCTTGCAAGGGATAGAGAAAACATGGATACAGATGATGAAAGGTCTCACTTTTCTTTAAATCAATATGTTGTCTCAAAGGAAGTTCTTGCAAGTCTTTGTGGTTTTTATATTAGAGTCATCGCATAATTGATCCTTGCTCTCAGTATTTTTTGTTCTTACCACTGTGTTGATAGATTCAGTGTAACAGACTATAATGACATTTAACACAGATTTAGTTATTTCCTGGGTTATGACCTGACAGTTGCAGTATTATTGTAAGCAATTTATTTGAAAAATCAAAATATAGTAATAGCACATGTGTACTTACGACTTGGCATAAAAAGAAAACAGCTCATTGATATCAAATATGCTATTTTTCAAACAACTTAAGGAGAAATAGAGATATTGTGTTCTAGAAAAGTGTATTGGATAATTTGAAAAGTGGCCTTAATAATGGTAAAGACATTGATGTCTAAAAAAATGAAGAGTGTAAATAAAATCATATGATTAAGTGTGAGTGTGAAACAGCAGTATTTCTAAAATGTAATCTCATAATGAATTTTTAAATAAGTATGTATTAAATATGTTTAATTAGATGTAAGTGTACATTTGTTTATTTCATCTATAGTCTTAAAAGTATATATATTTTAACTTTGCCATAAGACTATTTTGGAAGAGGTAAAGTGGGAAAGAGCCTTCTCATTGTATTACATTTTAATTAACATCATCTTATGTTCAGTTGTGTATTTTTTTATTATGTGATTTTGAAAGAAACTTTAAAAAATTTTTTCAAAATATTTAACCTGCGTATTTGAAAATCAGATATTATTTTGAAGGTTGTAATAGTTGTAACACATTTATCTTACAGTGCTGAAAATGAAGAAAAGATAACTTCTTACTTTCTTGGTAAAGATGAAATATTTCAATGTTTCTGTATTCTTCTGTAGGCAATACCAAGATTTCCTTGAAGATCTTGAAGAAGATGAGGCAATTAGAAAAAATGTAAACATTTACAGAGGTTGGTGTTTGAGTGTTTAAGTTGTATCTTCTGTACTATGTAGATGTATTCCCTTATTGAGTATTCTGGTATCTTAAACTTTGATTCCATAAATGACTTTTATTGTGTGTTTTTTAAACTACTCTAGTTAAAACATTTATTTAAAAAAAAAAAAAACTTGGAGAACAATAAAATCTATTAAAATGTTTGCTATACCACATTTGATATTATTTGCATCCTAGCATGATCTCTCAAGTTGTTGACCTGTACACTAGTAGATATTTATTCATATATTTATGCAGCTCAGTCATTCAGTGAATGTTTAAATGCCTGCTCTAGATATGATACAAGAGCTACGTGTAGAGAATATGGTTAAATGATAGTAATGATGGCAGGGGCAGACTTGTATATTTCTATATTTGTATTTATTTGAAATCCTCTTTGTATTTTTTTCTTAGATTCAACTATTGCTGTGGAAGGTGACACGGATGATGAAGGAGCACCTCGAATTAGTCTGGCTGAGATGCTTGAAGACCTTCACATTTCTCAAGATGCTACTGGTGAAGAAGGTGAATCGATGATGACATAATGAGATCATGTTGTAGATGTTTTGTGCATCTGTAGGCTAGCATGTTGGACAAAGTAACCTTTTCTATTTATCTATACTACCATATTTAGAGAGGAGAAATTTAGTTTTAAACCTGAATAAATATGATTATTTTGATTGCCCACTTAAAGCACTGAAAAAGATTGATGGCTTTGAAATTTTAGATAACAAAAGATAATGGAGAATATTCTTACTGATATTTAGGCCATTTTACATGTAGGATTTTATTGGTTTGCTTTCTATCTTAGACACAAGTATTTTCACATAACATTAGAGCTGGATTTAAAAGCTTAAAAATTGTGATTCATTGGAGGTTACCTAAATCTGCACGCACAAAACAAGCTTTTACATTCTTTTTATATTGATTGCTTCAGTAAAAGAGCATATGAAGAATCTTTTTTTTTTTTAATCCTCGCACGAAGACATTCTTCCACTTTTTTGTTCAGGTAGAGTAGGAGGGAGAGAGAGGAAGAGAGAGAAACATCAATGTGAAAGTGACACATTGAGTGACTGCCACCCACATGACCAAACCAGGGCCGGGGACAAACCGCAACCGAGGTACGTGCCTTTAGCAGGGAACCGAACCCGGGTCTCTGTGGACCGCAGGCCAACGCTCTAACCCCTGAGCCAAACCGGTCAGGGCTGAAGAATCGTTTTTAATATGAATTTGTTATGCATTTTGATCCACTTTAGATCGATTTTATGTCCTTGGGGTCAGGAAGTTGGGGTTCATTTTATCACTGGACATTCAGGAGGAAAGTTAATCTTTTTTATTAACACGTTTAAAAGTTGATAGAAGGTTATCTTAATTTTTATTGCAGAAGAAAATGTATTTAAATTATTTGTGGATTTGTAGCAAACATAGACTGATTATTTAAAGGTTAAATAACAATTTGTACCTTTGTTAATTTTGCCGATGCCAGCAGCTTAGGGCAATAGCATGTCATAAAAACATCTTTCTATCATTTCAAAGATTTTGCTTTTAAAATTTTGGTTTACAAGTTGAGAAGGAAGGGATATTCTCTATGTAAGTTTCTATTATTGAATATATAACCGTTACAAAGAATATTAGAATATAGCATATAGATGATGAAGTAGTAAAAATGATCATGCTGTTATAAAGCCATGAATCAGATTTGAATGAGGAATACCTTCCCCATCCTTCAAAGAAAAGAGTTGGCTTTGGTTTTAAAGTGTTCTGAGAATGAAATAGTAAGATCCTAAATTTATAAGCAAGATCATACTTACTAAGTATGCCAGAACTAAGAGCTAATTTAAAAATTCTAGGTATACCACTAAATAAGGAAGTTGAATAAATGCTGCATGGAACATTTTCTGTTTTTTAAGATTGAAATCCCTACTTCTGAAATTATGAATAAAGGTTTGAACTTTCTGTATGGGTCCTTTTCTGTTTGCATATTTAAAGTTTTCACTTGTGGTCTGTGTTTACCTGTTCTATGTGAAGACTTTAAAAAGCATGAAAATAAAAGAATTTTTCCTTTTTTGTGTCCTTGAGGTGATTGCATCAGTGTCATATTTAAATGACACAATATCTCATGCAGTTTTACAGACTAGAATTATTTATGTATTTGTCATGATTTTCCCATTGAAAAATACAGTTGCCCATTAACCTTATGTAGTCTTACTCTTATGGATGTTATGTCTTTCTACGTAATGAAACTTATTGGTTGAGATGAGTCTGAAACAGGTACAGGAGTGTAGTTAAGAGAAAAGCTGTTAACAGGTCAAGAGTTGCACTTTTTATAGTCTTGATAAATCTACCATTTTAGAGTATAGTTTTTAGGCTTATGGGTCTCAAAATACTCATTGATGTCCCAGAGTTCATACAATTTGGGAATGCTGGTATTAATCAAATTCACAGGAAGCTGATTTATAGTCCAATTTATAAATATGAGTAATCTCTAAGTTAGTATGATTGTCTTCTTTGGAGCCAGATCTGCTCTGGAAACTGCTGTGTTTTAGGCAAAAGTCAACCGAAGCATCTGAGGGAGAGGGTTGCTGTGTAATTCTGATGTTAACAGCATCAAGCTGTTCCTTGCCACAGCAGCACCTACAACTCGAGGCTGTATGCTGAGACTCCCCTGTCTGGTCAGTACTGAGTCAGTACCCGAGTATACTCTAGATTTTTGATTTTACTAAATTGTCCATTTTATCCTTTCGATCACTTCATCTGTATTTTTAGCTCAAGGGGCATTCACTTTGTTGTATAACTGTTTTTTCACCTTTTCCTTTTTCTAAGCATGGGCATACAAAATAAATGCTTAAAAGGGCCGCTGGAATTATTTAGCTATTATTTACCATGTTGTTACATTTCTTTCTTTTATATGACCTCGTGGGGAAATATATGTGTATGAAAGGAAGTGTAGAATATAGTTAAGCACATAGTCTCAGGAGCCAGATGTACTGGGTTCAAATCCCAGCCGTGACCCTCAGGCAAGTACTCACCTTCTCTGAATCAATTTCCTCATCTATGAAATGGGAGTTTAGCTCTGGCCAGTTTGGCTCAGTGGTTAGTGTCGGCCCACGAACCAGAGAGTCCCAGGTTCGGTTTCCGCTAAGGTCACATACCTCGGTTGCAGTTTGTCCCTGACCCCAGTTTGGGGTCGTGTGCGTGGCAACCAGTCGATGTGTCTCTCTCACATCGATGTTTCTCTTTCTCCTCCCCCCCCTCCCTCCCGCTCTATCTGAAGATAAATGGAAAATAATAATAATGTCCTTGGGTGAGGATAAAAAAAATAAAATGGGAGTTTAGTTGTTTAAAATTGTGGAGTCCTATTATTAGGTTAATAGAAAAGCAGTTTTTTCAGATGGTCTTTATTCTCTGTACTGATACCGAGTACACAAAGGAAGTGCAAAAAGGAAGACAAGTGGGGCTGGAGCAATAAAAAGGAAGATGAAGGGGTGATATCCAGGGATGAGAAGCTGCAGATGCTGCAGCCCTTAGTTGACCTGCCGCTGCACTGTTACCAAGGTGCTGCCTCTGCCCACTGCTCATTGGGAATTACTCCATTCCCAGAGCAGCAAGAACGCTACATGCTGGGAGCCAGAGCCTTTCTGCTTCTTCAGTGCCTTTTAACTACCTGGCAATAGAGGTTAGAAATGTAGTTCGATGTTTCCCAGCCTCAGATGTTCAGAGTAGCACATAAAAGGGTAGATGGGTTGAAAAAACAACAGGTAATTAGCCTGTGCAAAGACTGTACATATGCACATATCTTATCATCAATAACTGGCTTCTCTGGGAACAATTCTCAAGGGGGCTTGAGCACAGAAGTGGAGGGATGATTTGTTTTACTCTTTCTTTTTGGGGCTTTGTTTTTAATGCCCTTAGATTCACAGAACTGAATTATGCTCATTTCATGGCACATTGATTTTAACCCATGCAAATCATCATGACCATTGCTTTCTCCCTTTGTCACACATGACAACACAATAATGCAATAAACAGTCACATCCCTGTTTTGTTGATCTGTTGAGAGTTTCTGGGGTATATACCCAGTGTGGTAGGCAGCCTCTAAACCGGGCCCCAGTGTTCCCTGCTTCCTGATATTCATACCCCCCTTTTGAAGTATTGACATACATTATATTATTTTCAGTTGTACAACATAATGATTCACATTTGTATACTGGAAAATGATCACAATAAGTTTAGTTAATTTGTATACTCTTGTTCAATCTCTTCGCTTTAATATGGGTTGGACCTAGTGATTGTCTTCTAATGAATAAATAGAATGTGGCAAATGTGATGAGATCTCATGTCAGATTAGTTTACTTCTGTCTTGCTTGCTATTGCTCATTCTCTCTTCTCTAAAGGAAGCAGAGGCCTATGTTTTAAACCATCCTGTGGAGAGGTCCATGTGGCATGGAACCCACTCTCTGACCTAAAGCCAGTGAGGCCCTGAGGTTTGCCAAGAGCTCTGAGTGAGCTTGGAGGCGGTGCCTTCCCGTTCATCCTTGCGGTCACTGCAGCCCCAGCTGGCCCTTTATTGCTGACTTTTGAGAGACCCTGACTCAGGCTCCCAGCTAAACCACGTCTGGATTCCTGACCCACAGAAACTTTGAGATAAATGTTTGTCATTCATTTTAAGCCTCTAAATCTTGGGGTAATTTGTTTCACAGTAGTAGGTAACTAATACAGCTAGAAGTGTGATTTTTGGGTTGTAGGATATATGCATACGTCACTGAGTACTGCTAGATTTCTTTCCTACCAGTAATACTTAAGGGCTTCTGTTTCCTCATACTTTCACTAACACTTGCTAATATCAGACTTTTAAAATAATTTTTGCCAACCTGATAGGGATAAAGTGATATCTCGTTATTGATAACATGCAGAGTATCCTTTCATATCTTTCTGGTCAGTGCTTACTCTGCTTTTTTTGTCATGTATTGATTTGAAGAAATATATAAGTAGCCTTTGTTGATTTTTTTTTTGCCTAGAATCATTATTGTATTTTTTTAAAAATCTTTATTGATGAATGTAGAATATATTACAGATGTTCCACATTTTTCCCCCATTGACCCCCTCCTCCCCACTCCCGCCCCTTCCTGCCTTTTCCCACACTATTGTCTGTGTCCATTGGTTATGCATATAAGTTCTTTGGTTTATTTCTTCCCACCCCCCCCAACCCCTTTCCCTTTGAGGTTTGTCAGTCTAGCAATGAATTTGTACTTCTTAATCTCTTCACCTTTTTCACCCATTCCCCCAACCCCCTCCCATCTGGCAACCAACAAAATGTTCTCTGTATCCATGAGAATGTTTCTGTTCTACATGTTCATTTTGTTTGTAGATCCCATTGTCGATAGATATGTATACATTGCCATTTTGTTTGTTCATATATTTTATCTTTTTCTTCAAAAAGACCCTTCATCATTTCATATAATAACGGTTTGGTGGTGATGAACTCCTTTAACTTTTTCTTGTCTGGGAAAGTCTTTATATGGCCATCGATTCTAAATGACAGCTTTGCAGGAGAGAGTAATCTTGGTTGTAGATTCTTGTTTTTCATCACTCTGATTATTTCTTGCCACTCCCTTCTGGCCTGCAAAGTTTCTTTTGAGAAATCAGCTGACAGCCTTATGGGAACTCCCTTGTAGGTAACTGACTGCCTTTCTCTTGCTGCTTTTAAGATTCTCTCTTTGTCTTGAACCTTTTGCATTTTGATGATGATGTGTCTTGGTGTGGGCCTCTTGGGGTTCATCTTATTTGGGACTCTCTGTGCTTCCTGGACTTGTATGTCTGTTTTCTTCACCAAGTTAGGAAAGTTTTCTGCCATTATTGTTTCAAACAGGTTTTTGATTTCTTGTTCTCGCTCTTCTCCTTCTGGCACCCCCAAGATGCGAATGTTGGCATGCTTGAAGTTGTCCCAGAGGC